TTTTGTTGTCACTGCGCGGCCCCAGAGGCTCCGACTTCTCGCCTGGGGCCAGCTTCTTTGCCCTGGATCCGTATCTGATGGCCCCGGGGCTGGATTCCCGCGGTCGCCAAACGCCGAAAACAAGGGCGCCCGCGAGGGCGCGAAGTCATTCGCGCTTCGCGCTTCGCAGTTCGACCCCGATTCCTCCTCCTCCTCTTCTCCCCTGGGGGGCGGCGCGAGAGCGCGAAGTTAGGCGCCCTTGGAAAACAAGGGAAAACGCCCGGATTGGAAAAATCACGTCGTCGGAGATTTTGGCGTGTGGCGGCGGTGGCGGCGGCGGCGGTGACGGAGACGGCGACGGCGTCGTCGACGTCGACCGCGACGGCAAAAGCGCCAGGACGGCGGCGGCGGTGGCGGAGACCAAGACATTTAAACCCAGACATCCCACGTCGTGATTTTTTCACAGCGTGGACCCCTCCTCCTCCTCCTCCTCCTCCTCCTCCTCCTCCTCCTCCTCCTCCTCCTCCTCCTCCTCCCTCCGCCCTCCTCCTCCTCCTCCTCCTCCTCCTCCTCCTCTTCAGAGGTTTGGACCTTTTCCCCAGCACCATTTTCTCATCCCCTGCCGTTTTGAATCGCCCCCTGGGCCCAGCGAGGGCACCTGGAGGCCGAAAACTTGGGAAAGCACCCCGTCGTTTTTCTTCCCAACCATCCTGTGGTGTTGGGTCCTCGCTTTCAAGAGACAGGCCCGCGTCCCTCTCCTCTCTCCTCTCCTCTTCCTCCTACTCTCCTCTCCTCTCCTCCTCCTCCCCTACACCCTCCCCTCCCCCTCCCCTCCCCTCCCCTCCCCTCCCTCCCCTCCCCTCCCCTTCCCCTCCCCTCCCCTTCCCCTCCTCCTCTTTCTCCCGCTCCTCATCCTCCTTCCTCTCTCCTCCTCCTCCTCCTCCTCCTCCTCCTCCTCCTCCCGTCCCCCTCCTCACTTTGGCACACCCCTCGCCTTTTCGTGGCCTCATAGGGTGGTCCACCGAAGGCCCCAGTGGCTGCGCCCGCATGCCGCCCCCCCCTCTCTTTGGCACACCCCTCATACGTTTCGTGGCCCCACAGGGAGCTCCACCGAAGGCCCCAGTGGCTGCGCCCGCATGCCGCCACCCTCTCTCTTTGGCACACCCCTCACACGTTTCGTGACCCCACAGGGAGCTCCACCGAAGGCCCCAGTGGCTGCGCCCGCATGCTGCTCCCCTCTCAATTTGCACACCCCTCACACGTTTGTTTCGTGGCCCCATAGAGTGCCCCACCGAAGGCCCGGGTGGCGCACACTTTGGCACACCCCTCACACGCTTCGTGTCTCCCATAGGGAGCCCCACCGAAGGCCCTGGTGGGTGCGCCCGCATTCCGCCTCCTCTCACTTTGGCACACCCCTCACACGCTTCGTGCCCCCATATGGAGCTCCTCCGAAGGCCCCAGTGGCTGCGGCCGCATGCCGCCACCCCATCAATTTGGCACCCCTCACACGCTTCGTGGTCCCATAGGGAGCCTCACCGAAGGCCGCAGTGGTTGCGCCCCCATGCCGCCAACCCCGTCATTTTGGCACATCCCTCACACGTTTCGTGGTCCCATAGGGAGCCTCACCGAAGGGCCCAGTGGCTGCGCCCGCATGCCGCCAACCCCGTCATTTTGGCACACCCCTCGCCTCTCTTCACGCATTTCGCTGCTCCGTTGGTAGCTCCACCGATGGCGGTTCTCACACTGGCGGTATTCAAAATTGCATATGGTTGGGTCCTTCGCCCGGATCATTTCCTTCTGTTTTTGTTCCCGACCATCCTGTGGTGTTGGGTCTTCGTTTTGAGGAGACGGTCCCCGCGTCCCCACCTACTCCTTTTTCTGCTCCTCCTCCCGCTCCTCCCTCCTCCTATCCCTGCCTCTGCCCTCCACATGTCAACTAGTTCTGCACTCCTGTCACCCCCCTCACTTTGGCACACCCCTCACACGCTTCGTGCCCCCATAGGGAGCTCCACCGAAGGCCCCAGTGGCTGCGTTCGCATGCCGCCGCCTCCGCTCACTTTGGCGCACCCCTCACACGTTTCGTGGCCCCATAAGGAGCTCCTCCGAAGGCCCCAGTGGCTGCGCCCGCATGCCGTCACCCACCTCATTTTGGCGCACCCCTCACACGTTTCGTGGCCCCATAGGGAACTTTACCGAAGACGGTTCTCACAACGGCGGTATTCACAACTGCATCTGGTTGTGTCCTTCGCCAGAATTTGTTTTCACCACGCGAGGACGCAAACGGCGTCGGCGTCGACGTCGCGTCGGCGTCGCGTCGGCGTCGGCGTCGGCGTGGGGTTTCCGTCGCGACGCAGACGGCGTCGGCGTCGGCGTCGGCGGCGGCGGCGGCGGCGATGACGGCCCGCGTCGGCCCGCGGCCCGCGGCGCCGCGGCCCGAGATCAGCAGCGTCTGCGCCGCGCACGTGCAGGGGCTCGACCAGAACCTGTACCACTTCAGGAACCGCGCCGTGACGCATGCCAGGAGCCCCCGGCCTCCATCCCTCTCCGTTCACTCCCCCTGTTTCCCCCCCTCATCCGTCCTCCTACTCATCCCTCCTCCCCTCCTCCTTGTCCGTCATCCATTCGACCAGTAGATCAGCATCGTTTGCTTTGGTGAATGCAGGGTGCGGGAGGGCTTTTCCTCTTGTGGCTGCTTGGCTCAAGGTACGTTTCCGCGCCCGCTATAAAACCACCACGCCGCTCATACACTTTCCGCTTTGCTGAAACCATGAGTTTTTTTAGGATCCGGCTTTACACTCTTAGCTGGTAGAGGAACATATCGCTCCACCTTGCCGTCATGGCCCGCGTGGCAATGCCTCGTGCTCCTGGCGGTCGCTCTACAGCGACGTGTTCCATACGCTCCTGTTCTACATTCCGCTCTACATTCGTGCTGTCCGCCTTCCTCGCCTTGGCAGGCGCCGTGCCTCCAGGGGCCAGCGGGGCCAGCCAGACCCAGCCGCCACTCCTGGCGCGGGAAGCGCACTACGCCTATGACTACAAATTCATGACCTTCAAGGACCGCGCCCCCCGCGCCTTCGCCCCTCCTGGCTGGTTCGAGCTGTGTTCGATCGGTTCGGGGGCCCCTCGTCGTCGCAACGTTCGCCTGCGACTGTCGCCGCTAATTTCGTAACGTTGCACGACTGGACTTCCACATCCGAGGTGTTAGCGCAGGGCCCCGAGCTAAATGCAACTGTTGCGACAGCCCGAGGGAAACAACAACCAAAACGTTTCGCTCTCATTTCTCTCGCATGTGGGTGTGGCGGCTTGGTCAAACAGTCGTTCGGTCCGATGCTCACATCTTCGGTGGTGGCAGACAGGCCCGAGGTAGGCGCAATTCTTTTGCGAGAGTTTGGGGGGCGGCGCATGCAGGAAAGAGTGGGAATACGAAGACGGGTCGGGCAACTGTGTTACCATCGCTGCCACACGAGTCTGGGGCTACTCGCTGTTGGCTTTCTGGGACACGCCTCGCAACGTTACCTACGCGCTCTCTGCCTCAGGACAGACCTGGATCCCTATGCGTACTCTTTTTGATTATCGTACAGTGGGCACTGCGCAGTACAGTGACAATACGGCGCGCGACGAGTTCTCTGGCCACTATGTGGCGGGGTGCTCCGAGTGCGGCCTGCGCGCAGTCACGCGACAGAAGAAGAAACCCTCTGTGCTGATGAGTGGAAGCGTGCCAGAGACCCCATGCCCATGACGTCTTTGAGGATCACTACCAGATCATCGCCGCTGGTTGGTACCAGGGCTGTCACGCCTCCTCGACACCTGGGGGGGCTCAACTATGGATGGTCGGTCATCGGCATGGGCATGGTCGCTGCCATCAGCTGCGTCGCCTGCATGGACATGGGCGGCGGCGGCGGCGACGCCTTCGCAACTGGGGGCCCGAGTAGCAAGCTCGAGTGCACCTCCAATGTTGGGCGCGGAAGGTAATGATTTGGTCAGTGGCGAACTCCGACTTCGACGAGTTTCGCCAGGCGGCCTACGTCTTGTCTCGCTTGACCGGCATGGCTTGCAAGTGTGTGGATGTGTTGCTGCTGGCTGTCCTCATCCATGGTGGTCATATCAGCGGCGACCCAGTGCCGCCCATGACCCACGTCATGCATGGAGTGGCTGGCCGGTGGGGCCAGTCAGGACAGGAGAGGAGCGCGCGCAGGCTGTGTCGGTCCAGATGAACTTCAACCGACTGCCTCACCGCCGACCCCTTGGGGGACTGGCGGTTGTGGCGTCTTGCTCCTGAGGGCCCCTTGGGCGCCTTATCGAGGCTTCTGGGTGCCTTGGGCGCTTCGTGGGGGCCTCTGGGGGGCCTCCTGGAGTTGCGCGGAGGCTTCTTAGAGGCCATGGGGGGCGGAGGGCTCGAGAGGTGATGCAGATCTGGAGATGTCCATATAATTCCGCACGCGTGAAGGATACTCGCGGGTGGTTCGAGGAACACTAGAAGTCGCGAGGCCTCTAACGAGTGGAATGCCCTTCCCGTTATTGGTGTCCGCGTCGATCTGGTCGATCAATTTCGGCGTCGATATCGGCCGGGCCGATGTGGGTCGCTGTGCCGGCCGCCCCGCCTGCCGATTTGCTGTTGCCGAGCTGGGCTTGCGTGCCATCAGTCTCAGCGCCCGGCATCGGCGCTTGATCGAGCTCCACGTGGCCGCCGCCGCCCGCGCCGATAGCCGCATCGCCATTGGTGCTGGGGTCTCCTAACGATCTGGCTCTATTCAATCAGCGCGTCCCCATTAACGCGGGCCAGCGTCTGGGAGAGTGGCCTCGTGGTTCGCCGGCCGCGACGCCCGGGCGCCCAGCGGCCTGCGATCCGAACGCGCAGTGTGCTCCACGCCCGACCGCGCGCAACGGCGACACCTCGGCGAGCTCTACAGCGCCCAGCTTGCACTCGAGCTCTTACGACAGCAGGGCGAGCGCCGACGACGAGCCGCGCAGAGCTGGACCGAAACCCCTCTTGCAAGCCCACCTCCTGCGCCGGCTGCTACGCAGCGAGTTGTGCGCCTCCAATGCTGTCGCATCTTGCGCTGGGCATGCCGCCTGCAGCTCGCGCAGAGAGCGGGCGCCCGCTGAATGCGCTGCCCGGCGCGCCGCGGCCCTGCCGGCGCCATGGCCAAGTTCCGCTTCATTGGTGCAGATCGCCCCGCGGCGGGCCCGGCAACTACGTTGCTGGCCCGCGCGGCAGACCCTGGCATTTCGGGAAGGGCGCCTATGGCGCCAGTCCAGCAGATGCCAGACGACAGCGCGCCAGAGGAGACGCCGCCACCACGGGGCACCGCGCGGGCTCCTCGGCCCGCGCCGACGCCCAGGACACCGCGGGAAGACCGTGTGCAATCCCCTGGCAGCGCCTCCAATTTTGTCCGCTGCCGACGCGGCAGTGCCGCGCGACGCCCGCCTGGACACGCGCGCTCCGCCGCGCCGGCCAACGTTCCCGTCGCGGCCGGCCTCGTCAGGTGCAGGCCCGAGTGCACCAACCGATTCATCGTGCTAGCTGGTGAGCACCGACCTTCCAGGCGGCCGTCTAGGCGTCGTTGTGGATGCCGGCGCCTGAACAAACCTCTGCGGGCAGCGTTTTGCCATGAACCCGGCCGAATATGCTTTGAAAGCCGGGCTTGAGCCCGCAGGGGAGAGGCTGGCGTTTCCCCTCCACGCGGCAGGGGTGGGCGACGGCGCGCAGGTTGCCTCTGGGAGGTGCACTGCCCCATCGCGGTCGCCACCCGCGACGGCGCGGCTGCCCGGCGCTGCGCGCGTGCTCCTGCCGTGGAGGGCGACGGTTTGGATTTTCTTGCCTCGCTTGGTCTGCAATCCACGCGGTCCGACGACGGGGTTGTAGGGACAGGCGTCGCGCATAAAGGCTTCGCATTCCCCAGTCGAGGAGGGCGGGGTCACCCGGGGCCCAGGCGCCGTGCATTTCGACGCAGTGTCGGTTCCAAGTGGCCATTTATGCGTACCAGTCGACAAATGTGCCCAGCTCAAACCGCCGACCGGGGGGCCCCCCCTTGTAATAAGCAGCTCGCGCTACGATGGACGGTGGCCGAACGGCCTGCCCATGGCGTCGCGGGCCCGCGCCGGCGCCGGCGACGACCGTGCGAGGCGAACGATGCTCGAAAGTGCGACGTCGATGCGGCAGCATTTCCAGCAGTGGCTTAGGGGCCGCAGATGAATCAGGAGTGCCATGGCCGCTGAGCGCGGTCGTAGCGCCTGAAGAGCGTGCCGACGCGATGTGCGATCGGACTCGCCCCTTTCTGCCCTCGCCGGAATGCCCCCGGCTGCCGCGAGGAGAAGTGGCGCGGCCGTCCAACGCGCGCCCGCGAGCTCAGCGAGCGTGGGTTGGCGGGCCCTCAGGAGCGTCCACGCCCGCGTGCGCATTGACGCGCGCGAGCGCCAGCGCGACCTGGAGGCCCGCGCCCTGCCAGCGACCGACAGGCCCAGTTGCCCGGAGGAGCCGACCTCGCCGCCAGCGCCAGCCAGCGCGCCAGGAGCAAGCTCATCGTCCAGCTCTGGGGCTCGGGGTAGTGGAGAGGGCACCTGTGTTGTCATTCCGCGATTGCGAGCTAGTCAGCTAGCCCACCAGCCGGCGCAGCACCGAGACGAGCAGCGCCGCGCGTTGCCGACGCTGCTGTAGGCAACCCAACGCTCGCTGATTGCACTCGCTTTGACATCGCCGCGTCGCTGCGAGCACTGCGCGTCGACTTACGCGCGCATTCGAGAGCTGCGCAATCTACGCATCCAGTGGTGGCATTCCGCTACAGGAGATGGCGCTAGGACTGTGCGCAACCAACGTGCCACAGGCAATCTTCGACCCCGTCCCTACGCTGGCCAACGACTGTCGGGAATCCCATAGGGCGCTTGCACCCGCGCGTCAAACCGTCCCCGCGCTGCGCCTTTCGACGCGATTCAACTAGCACGTTGAATGCGATGTCCTCTTCTAAAAGAACCGAATCATACTGCGCCTGATCTGCTGCGCCTCGATATGGCGCGGCGGCCGTGAGATCGCGGACAGATGCGACTCAGCGTTGTTGGCAGGAGTGGGCAAGTCACGGATCCAACGATTTTGATTAATTGGGGCCTTCATCGTGGACGGCGAGGGCGGGGTGACGTCCGAGTATTTCGTGGAGGAGATGAGGAGGATGGGGCCGCGGAGGACATCGCGCTCGTTTCATATGCCGACATGGTGCAGTGTCACGACGCGCGTTGCACGCCGCCGAGGGGCAGCTGGAGCGCGAGGGCACCGCTGCCAACGTCGACTCCATGCTGGCCCGCGCCATATTTGCAGGCAACAGCCTCGACCACGCGGGCGGTGTTGCGCCGTGCAACGTCGTCCTCGGCAGGCGGCCCTCCCCGGAGCCGGTCCAGCTGCCGGTGGCGAGGTGCAGCCCAGCCTCGGCGCGAACGACGTGGGCGCGGAAACAATGGGTACGATGCCCGACAGCAGTTCCGGTTTTTTTCGAACAGAACTCGCTGTCCGCGCCGCCGCGGCCTGCGTCA